GGCTTTTCCCCGAAGCCAGGACGGCGGAGTCACAATGCAGGGGGAAGTGCTGACACCGCGTCAGCTTTGTCGTGTCAGCGGGTTTATTGACTGTTCGTTAGAGCGACGCCGAAGGAGATCTTGAGAAAGGAATCGTATAAGAAGATACTTCTTAAAAAGCTCATCGCTGTTTTGTGGGTTTTTTCAAGGGTTCGTGTTTGTGTGTGTGTATGTGTTTGCAAATTTACACACGTAAACAAACAGACACACAGGAAAATATATATATATAATATATATATATATATATATATATATTATATATATATATATATATATATATATATATATATATATATATATATATATAATATATATATATATATATATATATATATAATATATATATATATATATATATATATAATATATAATATATATATATATATATATATATATATAACATACATACACACACACACACACACACACACACACACACACACACACACACACACACACACACACATATATATAATATATTATATATATATATATATATATATATATATATATATATATATATATATATATATATTATATATATATATATATGTGTGTGTGTGTGTGTGTGTGTGTGTGTGTGTACATTATCTATCTATTATATATTCATGCATACATATACACTTATATGCAAGTATGAATAAACACATATGCACACACACAACACTTGTGTGGCGTGTGTGTGTGTGTGGTGTGTGCGTGCGTGCATATGTGTGTTATTCGTACTTGCAATAAAGTGTATATGTATGTATGCATGAACTATTAATTGAAGACAGATAGATAGTCTTAGATAGGAAGATTAGAAAGTAGATAAACGGATTTTTAGGACGGCTAACAAGTAATCAAATAGACATCTAAGTAGTAGATACAGAGATTAAATTGCTTAAATAGACAAGTAGATAGATGGACAGAGCATTAAACAGTTGAACAGAATAATAGATAAATAAACAAGAAAGTGAGTTAGACCCCCCCCATCCCCCAACCCATAAGAAATTTCTCATTCAAAATAACACAACTGTCTATCATTACACTTAAAAAAAAACAAATAAACAGACAGACTAAAGCAAATACACGAATTACAAAAGAACCCCCTCTACCCCCTCCCCCCCACCCACCACTCCCACATCCCCCTCCCCCTACCCCCCCCCCAAAAAAAGGAAAAAAAAAAAAAAAAAAATCGCACAGAGTACACTTCTGTGTGTGTACAATCACGCTACCCAAACCCCCCTCCCCCACACTCCCACCCCCCTCCACCCCACCCCCAAAAGAAAAGAGAGAGAGAGAGAAAAAAAAAAAAAAAAAATCGCACAGAGCACACTTCATGTGTGTACAATCAGCTACCCAAACCCGCCTCCCCCCCACCACCCCCACTCCCCCTCCCCCTCCACCCCCCCAAAAAAAAAGAGAGAGAGAAGAGAGAGAGAAAAAAAAATAAAAAAATCGCACAGAGTACACTTCTATGTACAATCAACTACCCATTTTTGCTATCTCTGCCGTCCCCGTCCACCGTTATTCACGTATTTTTCTTTCTTTCTTTATATATCTTTCGCGAGAGGAATATCTTTCTCCCTTTGTTATTGCAGTGTGACGGGCTGCGATGCAATACTTGGATGGGAGAGAAGCTTTTTTGTTCCTTTTACACTGAAATCTCGGGAGGGAAGTGTGGATGAAAGGTAATCATGCCTGGTTTTGGGATGCTGGGGGGGATGATTTCGGAATGAGAGAGAAGGAGGGAGAAGAGTAGAGAGAGAGAGGAGAGAGAGAGAGATGGAATAGAGGAAGAGAGAGAGAGAGAGAGAGAGAGAGAGAGAGAGAGACAGAGAAGACAGACAGACAGACAGACAGACAGAGAGAGAGAGAGAGAGAGAAAGAGAGAAAGAGACAGACAGACAGACAGAAACAGAAAATAGACAGGTATCTATTCTCACAAACGCAGCGTAACTGTGTACCCGAATTATCCTGCAACTCTAAGGGCCACTTACGGTACATTGCAATCGCCTGTCTGTTTGTTTATCCTGTGGAGTCCTTAGAGATAATTCTGGGGAAAAAAAAGCCACGTTATTCAGGTTCATGAATTGTTATGGAATTGAACCCTCCCGATGACGTCATATTTGAAGTTAGATTCCATTCAGACGTATTCGTTGTGATTTATTTATTTTTTATTCTATTTTTCTTATTTTTTTATGAGAGAGAGAGAGAGATAGATAGATAGACGAGAGAGAGAGAGAGGAGAGAGAGAGAGAGAGAGAGAGAGAGAGAGAGAGAGAGAGAGAGAGAGAGAGAGAGAGAGGAGAGAGAGAGAGAGAGAGAGAGAGAGGAGGGGGAGAGAGAGAGAGGGAAAAAGAGAAATAGAGAGGGAAAGAGAAGAGAGAGAGAGAGGAAGAGAGAGAGAGAGAGAGAGAGAGAGAGAGAGAGAGAGAAGAGAGAGAGAGAGAGAGAGAGAGACAGACAGACAGACAGACAGACAGACAGACAGACAGAATGACTCGAGCAGAGAGAGAGAGAGAGAGAGAGAGAGGAGGAGAGAGAGGAGAGAGAGAGTATATATAATCTCTTCCTTTGCGTGCATTATTTTCCTTACAAGCAGCACGGCCATTTTCGCTTATATATTCTAATACCACTTTCAGATTTTCGGATTCAATTCAGGGGAAAAAAATGCAGATTGGTTTCAACTTTCATCGGGGCGAATTCCCCCCTACCCCCCCTACCCCCTCCCTACCCCCTCCATTACCTCGGCCTAGGGAGAAAAAACAGACAGACAGAGACAGACAGATGGAGAGACAGACAGACAGAGACAGGACAGATGACAGAGATAGACAGACAGATGGAGAGACAAGACAGACAGAGACAGACAGATGGAGAGACAGACAGACAGAGACAGACAGAGAGATACAGAGATAGACGGATAGAGAAATAAGTAGAGGAACAGACACAGACAAACAGACGGACAGACGGACAGGCAGACAGATGGAGTGACAGACAGACAGAGACAGACAGATGGAGAGACAGACAGACAGAGACAGACAGATGGAGAGACAGACTGCAGAGACAGCAGATGGTAGAGACAGACAGACAGACAGACAGATGGAGAGACATACAGACAGAGAGCAGAAGACCAGAGAATATACAGAGATAGACGGATAGAGAAATGAGCAGAAGAACAGAGACGATCAGAACACAGGCAAACGGTCAGACAGACAAGATGGAGAGAACAGACAGAAAGAGCAAGAAACAGACGAGAGATAACAAAGATAGGACAGATAGATAAATAGGCAGAGTGAAAGAGTACAGATAAGACAGAAGAGAAAAAGCAAGACACAGGCAGCACAGACACACAGATAGACATGATGGACAAAACCCTTGTCTCTCTCTCTCTCTTCTCCCTTCTGCTGCCCCTCCACCTTGAATCGGTCTTCTTCCTCTCCTCTCTTTCCTGTCTTCCCTACTTCTTCCTCTTCCTTCCTCCCACTCTCTATTATTCTCCTTTATTCTCCTTCTTCTCTTCCTTTCCCCCCAATCCTAATTCCTCATCCTCTTCTATCTCTTTCCCTATATCTCTCCCTTTCAATTCATTTTTCGCGTATCTTCTCATTCATTTCTTCCTTATACCATCCTCTCTTACCTTATCTATTAATCTCCTATTCTATTTCCACTATTCTTTTCCTTTCCCCTCCTTCCCCTTCCCCGCCATTCCCCCCTCTTCCTTCCTCCTCCCTCGCCCTTTTTCTCTCCTTCCTCTCTCTCTCTCCTTCTCATCCCTAACCTCTTTCCGTCCTATCTCTCCTTCCCTTCCCCCTTCTTCACCTTCCCTCTTCCTCCCTATTCTCGTCCCTTCCTCCTCACCGTCCCTCTCGCTTCTGCATTACCTGCCGCTGGATCCACATGCCTTGACAGTGATACGGGTATTTCTGTTCACCTCTCTCGCCCATAATTCACCCCCACCTCAACACCTCTCTCTCCATCCCTTCCCCGCAGCCCCTCCCCTCTCTCTCTCGCCTCTCATCCGTCAAATCCTATGCAGCGTGTCATTAACACGTTACACTTTCCGCCACCCCCCGACTTAGCAGGCCGTGACGCCCTGCATCTCTACTACGCAAAACCGCTTCCCTTCCTCCTTCTCTTCTCCCACCTCCTTCTTTTCCTCCCTCACTCTTTCCCTCTTCCTCTTATCTTCTTCTTCCTCCTCCTCCTCTCCTCTCACTTCTTCTTCTCCTCTTTCCTTCTTCTTCCTCCGTCTCTCCTCCTCCTTACTTCTTTCTCTGCCCTCGTCACCCGCAGACACCCTCCTTCTCCCTTCAAAATAACTTCTCCCTGCACTCCACCTCCTTCTCCTTCTTTTCTTCTCNTATATATATATATATATATATATATATATATATACATATATATATATGTATATGTGTGTGTGTTTGTGTGATTGCATTTGAATGTGAATGTAAATACCCGTAAAATATATTTGTTCGTTTGCACATACATAATTTTCACATGAATGTTCTCTCTTTATATATACTTATATGCAATGATGTATTTTAGTAGAAAAGAAAGCATTCATTAATTATGTCTTATTTATTTTTTCATCAAACATAACCGCTACATATATCATATAGAAACATAGTGTTAACATATGTACAAATATATATAAACACAAGCACGATAAAACCGTAAAGGAGATTTGTCGTCTGAGGAGGAATGGAATCCTTGCCGAAACGTGGCGATTGATTCCTCCTTTTTGTCTGGTTTTCATTTTATTGGTAATGTATGTACAGAATTATTTCTAATTTCTTTTTTATTTTCCTCTTTCTATGTTCGTCAATATCCTGATCTTTTTCGGTGTCTTAATCGCAGTCTTTTCTCTTTTCCTCCCTTTTCTTATCCTCTTCCTTCTCCTTTTCGTTGTCCTAGTTTTTTTTTTTTTTTTCTTCTCCCCCCTCCTCCTCTCACCTTCACCCTCCCCCTCCACCTCACGTCACGGCGTTCAGCTTCACCGGTATCCCACTCTCCCTCAGTGTTCTCTTGAAGGTGTCGTTGTACCATTTGGTGTTCACGTAGAGCAGTTCCCCGCAGACGTCGTGCTGGCTGCCTTCAGGGGCGTGGGTACCGGCTGTCCAGTTGTATGTTGTCCCAGTAAGCCACGGGAGGAACCACGGGTCTGTGGGAGAAAAGGGGAAAGGGTTAGGGCTGGGGAACGGAGGAAGGGGGTGGGGAGGAGGGGGGAAGAGGGGGGAGGAATGGAGAGGGAGAGGGGAGGAAGGGAGAGGAGATAGGATGGGAGGGGAGAAAGGAAGGGGAAGGGGAGGGGGAGGAAGGAGAGCGGAAGGGAGGAGGGAGAAGGGAGGGGGTAAGGAGGGGATTAAATCTGGGGAAGGGATAGGGTGGGGAGGGAGGGAGGAAGGAGAGGAGAGGGGAAGGGACTTCCCACCACACATACCTCACACCCATACAAAAATAACCACTTAACAAAACGGATAAAAAAGGAAGTTACCGACCCCCCCCCACACACACACACACAATTCAACGCGACAACATACCTCGAGAGATCTCAAATGTCGTAACGTCTTTGAGATAGCCGAAGATCTCCTCAGTCCGTAGTTTCAAGATCTCCTCAACGTGGACCTCAACAGCAATCTGCCCAGTTGGTAAAATTGTTTTCTTTGAGTAATACTGGAGTGGAATACGAAATTGGGTTACTGAAGATTAATTCAGGGGTCAGTAAAGGCAATTCGGTTTTGGTTATTAGATGACAAACGTGTGAGCGTAAGTGTGTAAGAGATGTTTATAAGTATATCTGTATGTATACATGTGTGTGGGTATACATACATACATATATATTAAAGAAAATGTTATAAGAAAAATGTTCTTAATCAAAAGGCAAAGGTAGTAAATCTCCACCGGTAGCAACAGCCATGTATTTTACGCTGAATAATGAGTAATGAATATAAAAGTTCGTCCAATTTGTCATAACTCTCCACAAGTAACAAATATATCAGGTAAATAGTCTGATTTTTGTCTAAGGGGTATTTCGTAGAGAAATAATGAAAAATGGTATAAACTCATATTTCTCATTTTTCCAGGATAATCTTATGATTCTTTCTTTCCACTTTTATATTATTAGTATCTCTTATGGGAGCATATTCTTCAAACTACAGGTTTTCTTTGATGCTTTTCCCCATTTTCTAATCTACGTTTTCTTTAATCCATGTCATGTCTTGCCCGTTTTCTGTTACGCGTTTTCTTTGATGTACTTCAAGTCATCCCCGTTTTCTATTAAACGTTTTCTTTGATGTTATTAATTGTCTTCCCAGTTTTCTCTGTCTTACCTGTCCTACGATATCCAAAATCGGTTCCTTCGCCAGATGTTCAAATACTTCCCACTCGTCGCCTTCAATGTCTACCTGCGTAAAGAAATTTCTGGTCAAATCACTTCTTTGACAAAAATGAAATATTAATTTCGTAGACGTATGTGTGTGTGTGTGTGCATTTATATATTATGTATTTCTTATATATATAAATATAAATAAATAAATATATATGTGTGTGTGTGTGTGTGTGTGTGTATGCGCACAGCGAAATAACTTCATATAGCATACATTATACGAAGTTATACGAGTGTGCGTGTGTATTTTTGTGTGCGTATTTGTGTGTGTGTGTGTGTGTGTGTGTATGCGCACAGCGAAATAACTTCATATAGCATACATTATACGAAGTTATACGAGTGTGTGTGTGTGTGTGTGTGTGTGTATGCGCACAGCGTAATAACTGCGTATCGCATACATTATACGAAGTTATACGAGTGTGTGTGTGTGTGTGTGTGTGTGTATGCGCACAGCGTAATAACTGCGTATCGCATACATTATACGAAGTTATACGAGTGTGTGTGTGTGTGTGTGTGTGTGTGTGTATGCGCACAGAAGTATTTCCAGTGAGTACACATGCACGCATAGAGATATACAGAGGCCCAATCTTTACCTTGAGGATGTGCACAGGCCTGTAAGTAATATTATTGGCAATGAGATGTCCAACCAACGTGTCCATGGAAAAGGTTTCGTTCAAGTTCATGTAGAAGTTTTTGCGCTTGTTGTGCGCCAGCCCGACCTGGAAGGATAGGGAGGGATGAGAGGTAGGGAGGCTGGGTCAGGAAGTTTTATTTTATATTTCAATTGTTCTAGTCTGTTCTTGTTTTTAATTTCATTTATCCGATATATAATGACCGTTCTGTTTGGGTACACATACACAAATACGCACACATAAATACACACACACACGAATACGCACACACACACAAAAATACACAAACACAAATACACACGCACACGCACACAAATACGCACACACACACAAA